AGTAATCTATTGCAGAGCCCTCCTATGTACACAGACTCTGTGGCATCACGCGACGAGAGCTTCCGTTTGTGTTGGTTTTTTTTTTTTTTTTTTTCATTTATGTACATTCATAAGTTCTTTCAACAACTGAAATACACAACCACCCCCACAGGTGTCTCCCTTTCTCACATTCACTGACAAACTCAGCCTCAGTGTAAAGTTTCATCGTCTCGGCTGCACCGCAGGGGGGTGGGGGTGGGGGGGTGGTTCTGTTCAATCTCCTGTCCTGGTTCAGTCCCTCTCACAAACTCACTCAGACTTACAGAAATACACACACGCACACACACACACATGAACAAGGCACAATGAATAGAACTTTTGATCAAACACTAGTATGAACACACCAAACTCTTAGCCTGGTCACCTCTACTGTACAGAGAAAGGGAGTCGGTGCTGTTGTTCACTGGGAGACACTTCTATGTACATGTGTGTATGATTGTTGGAGGAGATGTCTCACTGTTTGTGTCTCTTTTTTTTTTTTCATCATCATCATCATCACCACCATCATCTTCCTCACAGATAGCTCCCACACTGGCTTTACAACAAAGAAAAAAGCATGTTTCCCTCAATCCAGTTTCAACCGGCACGGAGCCTTAGGAAAGAAACAAAAAACAAAAAACAAAAAACCAAAAAAAAACACCCGAATACTCGTTACTTCCTTCCCACATGGTCAACAACCTTAGTCGTGCCAGCTACGAACTTCAACCCAGCAGGAAGTCACTGAGTTTCTAATTTTAAGCGTTCAGCTTCTAGTGCTTTTTTTTGTTTCCGTTAAGGACAAGAGTTCACGCCAACGTATCAACAACCTGATTTGTCATACAGGGAATGGCATGAAGATATTTCGGCCTTCAATACAAAATATTTCTTGCCACCCCTTAAGGCCTCAAAGCATGCAGTTTGTTTTGTTTTGTTTTTTTTTCTTTTTTACTTCCTGCAGTCGTTTTTGCAACTGAAGCCTCGTTCAGGGAAGTGCTTCAGTTAGGGGATCGATTCAAACTCCAAAGAGTGAAGCTCTTTAGGGAAATGATACTGGAACCTTCTCCACCTCTGATGGTCGCCCATGTGTAACAGTCCATCCTCCACCACCACCACCATCATCATCACCATCATCATCACCATCATCATAACACGAGACACATTGTCTATAAAAGTATTCCAGTGGTTGCCCTCGGCGACCGTCTCTGGACACCGACCTCCAACACAATGCTATGTTAAACACATCTACTAATCACCACTGGATTTAGGACGTGCTATTAGCTATACACCAGACCACTGTTTGCTTTTGGAGCTGAGACTCCCAACAGATGTCGACGATGGGTTGGGAGACAGTGACGTGCTGACTCGACACGTGTCGCGCCGAGCCAGGAAGCTACAATTTATGCCATACGGGAGCATGGCTAACAACAAGCACACGTACGCACACTGGGCCGGTGTGGTAGATGTGTTTGTGTGACTAACAATGTGTATGTGTGCGGGGGTTGAAGGTGCATGCAGAGGGGAGCATAGTTACAATGGGACAGCATGGTAGTAATATTTAGTCCACTCCTCCCAGTGGACGGCGGGCACGTCTAGACTTTGGAGGTGGGAACTCGCAGGCCGACCAGTCCGCCGGTGGGATCGCCCCGTCCTGTGTTCTCCAGGATCTTGTTGACAAAGTCAGACGTCTGCCCGGCAACAGGTGATGCCACTGTACACAAAAACAAATAGAAAAAATGAGACTTAAGACTTAAGAAGTGAACAGAAAGTGAGCAGAGCTTTGACACCAACAGAACATTTCATCTGGAAAACACTTGACTTGGTGAGGTGTACACTCCTCATCCTTCCACCAGGGGGGGGTTAATTTAATCAGTTCAATTTAATTCTGCACACAATGCAGCAAAAAGTCTTATGTCTTAAAGAATGAAGAAGCAGCAGCATCTAGATTTCGAGTTAGCGTTAGAATCTAAGGGCTGAGAGACATGGTGTTAAAATGAGAGACAGAATTAAAGCGAGGAGCCTAATCCTCACCGAGTGTCTCCTGGATGAGCCTCTCCAGGGTGTCATTCATGTTGGTCTGACGCGGAGAAGAGTCCTCGACTCGCGCCACAATCTCCTCCTTGATGGCGTTGATCACAAACAGCAGACGATCTGAAGGAGGAGAGGGAGAGAGAGAGAGGGAGAGAGAGAGAGATGAGAACGCTGGTTCCATAACATGTCGTTACTGAATGTTTCACAATGTTTTATGAACAAATTTAAAAACCAACCGTATTCTGTGCTCAGTCCCCACAGCTTCACCTTGTTGGCTTCATACTGGGCTTTCTTTTTCAAGCGACAGGCTCTGAAAAAAAAAAAAAAAAAAAAAAAAAACACCACGGCAGGCTGCGAAAACCCCTGCTGAGGTCGGGGGAATGAGGAAGTAAAACTGTCAGGGTTGTAAAACCCTGCTTCACCGATCTGCAGCAACTTGCGCGGATTGGGAGTCAAGTCTTCCACGTCTGTGCGGCGTGACTTTTTCAACATGTACTTTCCTTAAGGACGTAAATAAAATAAAAATTCATTTTTTGATTTTTATTGTATTTATTAGGATCTCTGCATTATTTTATTAAATGAGTTACATGTATATAAATCTCAGGTCAAGGTCAAAGGTTAATGTTGGGTAATTTCTACCATATGCACTGGTTATTACGAAGGTTTGAAAATGTATTAAAGTAAAGTATAATATAATTTCCTATAAATAGCACGTTTTTCCCCTTTGTTTTCATGCAATGAAGTACAAGAATAATTAAAATTAATTAAAAATTATATTTAATAAAATATCATAAAAAAACATCAGGGACATGAAGTTTTTTTTTACTTTTAATATTCATCAAGCTGGCCAGATTCAACCCCCCAGCGAACAGATTTTGGCCCACGGGCCATATGTTTGACACACCTGCCCTATAGTGTAACAACAGCAATACAAAAATATACTGCGGACAGCAGGAAAAAACAACATAAATGTGTGCGTGTGCTTACCGTGTAGTGGCCCATTCTTCTGGTACAGATTACTGGGCAGTGTGTGTCTGTCCCACTCCGACGGCTTCAGTATGCGTTCCTGTTTGGACGGGGTGAGCTGTTCGCTGTACTCCCAGAAGTAGCGACGTTTGCCTCTCTTGCGGCTGGAGACCCCTGCTGTCAGACCCTTGATGTCGTCCATCAGCTCCATTTCACAGCCTGGTGCGGCAGCAGAACACAAAGACCAAAGAGGTGAAACTCTCAACTCAAACTCAGAGAGGACGGCACGCGACCATGTGATCACAGATGGTTCCTACCTGGTTCAGAGAAGGCATCGCTCATGTCATCGTCCTTGTCTGCTTCGTAGTCATCGTCCTCCTCTTCCTCCTCTTCATTCTCAGAAAGCTCATGCTCGCTACCGAAACCCTCGTCGTGGTCTTCATCGTCCAGTTCAAGCCCATCTCCTTCCTCCTCCTCCTCTGCCTCCTCCTCGTCCTCTTCCTCCTCGTCCTCCTCCAGCTGGGGTTGGACTTTGCCGGACTGACGGCTGCGGGTCAGGAACAGAGAGTAGTTGTGCTCCTCCTCCTTGGTCTTCTCCGCTCCCTCCACCACCAGAACGCCACCGCCGCCGCCGCCGCTCGCTCCGGCTCCAGTTTC